AAGCCCCCTGCTAGTCTTTGGCGGGCTTTTTCCTGCACAGGTACAAGGAGTTGGATTTCAAAGCTACTGCGCATGTGTGGTTTCCCATGACTTTCTTGATTGGCTACTGGAGAAGGGAGTCCCACAATGTTATTTCATTATAATGATATTATAATGAATCAGGGGTAGCGCGCAGGCGCATTCTATGATTCAGAGTTATCCCAGAAAACAGGAACAACCCGTCTTAGGGGGTCTTTGTCATGTATAGGTGTTTTCTACCTCAGCCCTGCGGGGCCTCTGGAGCTTCCTTCCTGACTACCTCCTGCCTCATTGCTAGCCCAGGAAAAAAAATGAAAATTCAAAATCACAAGTACAGTTTCTCCTGAATGTGTGTTGCACTGAAACCATAGTAAAGCTGAAATATCACTAAGTCGATCCATCATTAAGCGGGGGACTATCTATGTAAGTGCAGAAGAGGAATTGTTAGGTCCAAGAGTACATAAAGTTGTAGTTTTAATAGGTATTATTAAACTGATCTTTAAGGGATTATTTACATACTCACAAACAACACATAGAAGTTATAGCTTCCTTATAACCTCAGCAATGAACAAACAGAACACATAAAACCCAAAACAACACTAGCAGTTTTTGCCTAACTAGTATCACATTATAGCGTTACAATGCCTTTTTAGCTTTCATTATGACTGAGGTTGAGTACCTATTCAAATGCTTAAGAGCCATTCAGACTTCCTTTTTTGTGGCCTGTAGAACCTCTTTATTTATTGAGCACGTTAGTCCTTTGGCTATATTATGAGTTGTGAGAAGCTTTAAATTCGGTTGTCCTATATAAGGAAGGCATGGTTCATTACTTAGGAGCATATTTTAAACTTGTACTTGTTCATCCAGTCAACGTTTACTGAATGTCCACTGTGTGCTAATTCTGTGGCTGCTCTCCAAGAACTGTCTAATGATGCTCAGCACAAATACTCAACAGGGCAGGTCTCTGCCTTCAGACAGCCTACAATTAAATGGACAGCCAATAAAAGGAGTCCTAATAGTAATATGATATGAGTCTAGTGAGATCAGAGGTATATTTCATCTAAAGACAGAGCTGAAACAAACACTAACTACCTTCGAAATGGCAGGCAGCACACTACATAGCATAGACCATTGTTGATGTGTCTTGGGCCAATGACAAGGTAAACATAGAACAGGAAAATCTAAAAACTGAAAAAGCATCAAAAGACCTGCCTCATATAGTAGCAAGTAGACTCTTAGATGGCTTATTCCTCAGAATTAATGTTTCAAAAGATATAAGCTCCTCCATTCAGCTGTAACCCTATTGTGAGAAACTAATATGGCATCCTTACCTCATACACTCTTTGCAGGGCTTGTTTTAAATTAAAGTGAAAACAATATAATCTGAACCCAAGTCCCCACTGGCTATGAAGTTGGACAAGCTATTTGTGTAGTCTGGCCTGGCTTACTACACATTTGTGTATTCTACATATATATATATATATATATATATTTAACATACACAGAGGTGTGGTCTCAAAGATGAGTCTGTCATAGAAAATACCTGTACCCCAAAGAAAAACAGGAAACACTGCCTTTTCACCAATTTAAAAGAAAAACTCTTTTTAAAAACCATAGAATAAATAAACAGAAAGTAAACTTAGCAATTCTCATTAAATCCATCAACTAGTAAGTATTCTACTTGAAATGGTTTTATGATAGAAGTATTCAGACAATTTTCAGTAAAAGCATAACACACCAATTCCAAGAAGCTTCCAAAAACATTCCTTCAGCTGAATCTTTTTTGGTAAATTAATAGGTAAAATTATTTTGTCTGGAGTATTAATATAGCTACTAAATGGTATTGCCAGAAAATCATACTGAGCTGGAAGATCTTCAATTACTTAATGCGTTGGCATTTAATCATTAAGATTCTTGGAAAACAGATGGATTCTTGCAGCCTCCTGCCCACTGACAGAGAACAATTCTTAGTCTTGTGTTTTATTTGATCTATTTATTATTAGCAGATTCTTTATATCTATATATTTATGAATGTAATGAGAATCCTCCTGCCCACCTCTCAATTTCCTTCTAAGTCTACTTCATTCAAATTCTGATAATTACAATTGAACAATGATTTGGGGTTTTCTTTTCTAAATGAATTCAACATGTACTAATTTAATTCCCACACATTATATCACTGACAGAGAAACTTCAAGAGTTATTTCCTAAGTCTGATGAAAAGAACTAAGGGGAAATCGCAGGAATGCCCAAATTTTTTTTGATAGAAATTAAAGTATGAAGGCTTATGAATTTTGCTTTGATTGCAGAGTCAAGAACAAGTTTCTTCAGCTTTATTCATACCTATGTTTTATTATCAGCAATTCTTCATAATGTTCCAATTTCAAGTAATAATATTAGTGAAAATAGACTTGAATTATTTTACTTCCACCTCTAGCCATGTTGGAGTAATGAGAATTGGGTTTAATCTCCTATTATACACAATAAGAAAACTGGAAGAAAAACATAAACAACTGTTTTGAGACACTGAACAAAAGGACAGGGAAACGTGGTGAGTCCACATTTGCCCTGGCTTTTGCCTGCAGACAATTTCTAGACAACATAGGTAAAGGGAGGTGGAAGCTAAACAAAGCTCAGTGCCCTTTCTGAGATGGAAGGATGAATTTCAAGGAGGTGAAGGCAACTAGGAAATACAGGGAAGAATTCTGTAAAGCAAGGAGGAGCTACATAGAAAACAAACTAGAAAAATCTACGTAAGAGTCCTGAGTCTTTTTTTTTAAGATTTTATTTATTTTATTTTTAGAGAGGGAACGGCGGGGGGCGAAGAAAGAGAGAGAGATATCAATTTGCGGTTGCTGGGGGTTGTGGCCTGCAACCCAGGCATGTACCCTGACTGGGAATCGAACCTGTGACACTTTGGTTCGCAGCCCATGCTCAATCCACTGAGCTATGCCAGCCAGGGCTGAGTCCTAAGACTTTACAAAGTACTAGGTCATGCATATATGGTGTAAGGTCAAGTTTCCCAGAGATCACAAGGGGCAGGGAGACTTTCTAGCTCTTAACAGCCTGAAGGAATAGTCCTCATCAATTACCTGGGTCATTTAGTACAGACCCAAGAGATTATGCCTCAACAGGATGACTGAAATATCCCTAGAATAAAGGCAACTCTAGACTTACTCTAGCAAACTTAACAAGCCTTGAATGGATCAAACTTGCTGTAAATAACTGATAAAACCAAGTCCTGCACTTTTTAAATCAAAGCAGCAAAACCCAGAGACTCAACACTATATTCACAGTGTCTGGGAACAACGAAAAATGAAACAATTAGCCATGCCAAAGGCAGGGAAATGTGAACCATAACCAGAAACTAGGAGAAAAATTAGTCATTTGTTATATAGATCTAGAAATAACAGAGATACAGAATTAGCCAATAGTGGCAATGTTCAAATATTTAAAGGAAAACATGAAAATAATGAAAAGGAAGATCGAGATGAAAATACAGTATGTGAAAATTTTAGGTCAGACTTTGCTGAAAAGAAGGTAAGTTGAAAGTGTCGCAATCAGACCATAATGAAAAACAGATGGGGAGCAGGGGACAGAGCCTGAGTGACCTATGGTGTAGCTCACTGGTATAACACACACATAACTGGAGTCACAGAAAAGGAAGCAGAACAGAACAATATTTGAGAAAATTATGGCCAAAATTTTTTCAAATTTGATGAAAATTTCCATAATTTGATAAAATAGATACAAGGAGCTAGATAAAACCTAGGCAGTATAAATCTGAACTGTTCAAGGTGATATAATTCATTATAGTCAGCCTCAAGTATAATTTTTAATTTATTTAAGCCTGTCAGCATGTCAACTGATGGTTGTAAATTACATAACAACAGGGAAGCCATGAGGTGGAAAGAGTTTAGACCTGACATTATTCTACTGATTAAAGGAAGGAAGTATTTTTTAAAAACTCTGGTGGGCTGCACTGTAGGGTCAGGCCCTGGGTGTATATGCTGAGAGGACAACACTGTAGCACAGCAGGCACAAGTAAACAGTTCTGTTCTCCCATTGTTTGGTGAGCTGGGTGGAGAACGTGCACAGGACATGAAGAAGGAAAATCAACAGTTATGGAAGTTTTTCATTTAGTACAAATGAATCATCTAATTTTAAAAAGTTCTTATAATGGACATTCATATTTTTAAGGTTTTTTAATAAACCTTAAAAAATTATAAACCTTATAAACCTTAAAAAATTTCCTACTTCAATACTTGTAAGAATAACAGGAAATATTTCCAAATAGACTTTAGAGGTATTTGAATTTAACATAAAGTACTTATATTACTTTATTTGTATTTCTTATTTTTGTTGTTGCAGTTAGAAATACCAGTGACTAAGAGTGTCTAATTGGCACACGAATGAATTATACTCAATACATTTTATAACTCATATACACAATAGGTAAATATCAACATTAGAAAGTTAAATGTAACATAATTATCATTTGAGATGCTTTATCTCATGAAGAAAGACTAGCAATTAATTTATGATTAATAAATCCTTCTTTCCAAACAAAATTTAATAATTCACTGAAAAGATATCTTTCTCTGTACTGAGTACAGAAATTACTTTTGTTGCAAAATTTATCCTGAAAAAGCTCTCACATAATTTTTTCTGTGGCATATTTTTTAAAATTAAACCACAGAAAAAAAATAAACTAGGCTTTAACTAAATATGTTGAATAAATACTGACCTGTGGCCAATGACTTATTAAGAAATCAAATGGCATTGTATTTAATGTACAATGTAAAATGCATTTTAATTATTTAAATTTAATTACTGGGAAGTTTCTTAATAAGTAGAAGAGATGATGGTTGGTAATATTCAGCAGTAATAACAACTAATTAAGAAAACATCCAAGAGAAAAATGTTTAAAATTACACAAGTACAAATTTAAAAGAGAAGTTGGGGTAGAGGGACAGACTTACTGTCAGTTCGACCAGACTGGAAGCTGCTGCCCCTCTTCAGTGATGCTGTCTGACTAAGATGGCCCAACATTGAGGGAGGTACATCATTATCCGGATCCACCATGGGACTGTGCAGGCCTGGAGTACCTGGAAAAGAGAGGTTATATACTTGTAGGTTCTACATATTCATATTTAGTTGATTTAAAGCATTGTCTCTTTGAGTTATTTCTTGCTCAACTTTTCTATTCTTTTAAATAAAGGATTTACTAAGTAAAATAAAAAATATTTCCTCTAAACAGCTTTTAAACGTCATGACGAATTTGGAGGATTCAATCCATTACTTTGGCTTAATACAGAGATGTAACAAATCATGGACTGAAACTTATGTATCATTTTAGAATGAATATTCAGCAAAACTGGGGAGGGGTATTCCAGAAACATAAAAATCAGTATGAGAAATCAGTTTTTGAAAAACTACTTAGAACTTGGAAAGGAAGTCATAGAGGTCTGATTCTTTTAATGAAGATTTACAGCACAAATCTTTGTCTTCCTCCTTAAAACTTAAACCCCCAATCCCATTTCTTTCTTTCTTCGGAATACGGGATTTCATTCCCTATTTCAATGACAAACAAACTAGTTTGGATCCTTTTCACCTCAATGCTGTTAATATTCCAGAGGCCTAACATGTCACTATTATTAAGAAATTCTCTTTATGTCCTGGGTTAATATCACTGAAATATTGCTTTTTTAAAAAATCGAATCTTCCTTATATTTTTCCGTTACCATTTAGTCCCCTTATACCCTCTTCCCCCAGCAATAACAACGTTTTCCATGTCCATGAGTCCTTTTTCCTTTTTGCTCAATCCTTCTACCTCCTAACTTCCCTCCCCCACCAATTCTCTCTTCAGAAATACTCCAAAATAAGCCCAGAATTCCAATGGAAATTATCCTAAAAACACGGAAACATTTTTTCTAAAATGAGTATTGAGAGCTATTAGAAGTGGAATCCATAGAAAATTGTACTGCAACAACAATTAAAATTAAAAAAAAAAAAACAAAGTGGATTCCCATGTTGCTAAAGGAGTTATTAAGACATTAATTTTAAGTAGTAAAATTTGCCTTTCAGTCTGTAGAGGTGTCTATAATCCCCCACCCTGAGTTCTTTAGCTGAGCATCTTCAAAGATCTTCAAGACAATCTGAATTCAATAAACATTTATAGAGTATTTACCATGCATACGACACTTAAATATTCTCCCTATAAAAATACACCTTATATTTCCTACCTTATTTTCTATCCTCTGTACCTGAAAGGCCTTAAACTCATTATTCCTCTCCATCCACTTAAACTCTCATCCTTAAAAATGCAACTTGAATTATAGCTGCTGCATAAAGTACTGCCTATTTCCAAGTCAGAACACTATCTTTTTAGGGATAAGGATTAAATATTATGTTTCTGTCCATAGTCATTGGACATTCTACAAATAGCTCCCTCTATATATACTGAGTGGCATATACTAAATTATTTAATTAAAAAACCTATTCCTTGTTCTTTAAGTTAACAGAATATTAAAAGCTTATAGATTTGTTTTCAGGTGGAACAGATAAAACACAGTTATAAAATAATAATTTTATGTTACTGAAAATGACAGCTATTCCATAACACTAAACAATTATTTACTGAACACCTCCTATATGCCAGGAACTATAGAGACCCTGGGGATAAGGTGATGAACAAAAGATAAGGCCCTGCTCTCAAGGTGTTTACATCCTGCTGGTGAAAGTAGAAAATAAAATAATAAATAAAATACAGTAAAAAGTGCTATGGAGAGCCTGTTTCATGGGCTCCTCCTAGCATAAGCCATTTAACATGATACAATGTGAGATATCTCCTTGTATCCTTACAAATTTCTGTAAAACCAGGTACATTTTCTAGAAATAGAAATTAAGTCATTTGAACAGATTCATTTTTTAGTGGAATAGAATTTTATTGAAGACTTAACTATATTGCAACTACTGTGCTAATGTTTTAATTTACATACATTTCTACTTTGGAAAGCATCTAAGATAAGATTTGTATAATTTAATTTTAAGAAAACAAAATAATCATAACTCAGTAAAAAATATAAGAAATGAAAAAGTACTTTTTTATAACTGAATATTTCTACATTAAAGAAGTAGTCATGTGTAGAAACTTTAACGATTTTGGACATTTTCTTTAGAGTTATATAGTCAGCAGTGCTATTAATTGTAGAATTGAGGAAATTAATATTAAAAATATCAATTTTCTCAAACATTTTGAACTATAAAGGGACTTGAACTTAGTATCACATTAAACATATAAAAGTGTATATAAAAACGTGCAAGAAGAGAATTCTTTAATTTAAAATGTTACATGTTATTCTGGAAGGTTTCAGGACAATAAATTTTTGACTACAAAGGAAAAAGACTTCCTAGTTTACTAAAAGTACACTGTATACCATTCCTTACCAAAAAAAATGTATGATTATCACCCTGGCTGGTGTAGCTCAGTGGATCAAGTGCCAGACTGCAAACCAAAGGGACGGCAGTTCGATTCCCAGTCAGGGCACATGCCTGGGTTGCAGACCAGGTCCCCAGTAGGGGGCAAACGAGAAGCAACCACACACTGCTGTTTCTCTCCCTCTCTTTCTCCCTCCCTTTCCTTCTCTCTAAAATTAAATAAATAAAAATTTTTTTAAAAGATACAACTCTTTTTCTTAAAAAAATACAATTATCATTGTTTAAGTAAATTCTCAGGAAAAGTTTTTCTGTATAACTGATGTTTACAACTTAAACTGTTTAAATTTAAGGTATTTATGTAGTTTAATTTAAGAAACTGAAACTTCTGCAAATTCTGAAACTGCTAATGCTAAAGTTTGATATACCTTTTCCTTTATTAAGAATATGATTTTCTTCCTTTAGAAACCATAGCATAATTCTCTATAATATCAGGTAAAGAAAGTTTAACATGAACTAATTTCTTAATTAGTAATGTCAAATTACCAGCACATCTGTCACAGCAGCAAGAAGCTAGAACAGCATACCCACCCTCGGGAGTAACCAGCACCTGGATCACATCTGCAAGAGGTATTTTTGCATAGTGACCAGAAGATAGCGCTTCAGCACTGCACACAAATGCACAAGCCTAGCAAACTAAACAGTGGGCATCAACTCAGAAATGCGTTTTTCTCCCTACCATTTTGCACCATTTTCTGTCCAAAAAAAAAAATTCTTAAAATGAGTTATTTTACAGGAAATTAATAGGAGTATCCTTTGAAGAGAAAATTAATGAAAATATTTTAAATCTCAGTTGTCAGAAATTATTTGCTATCAAGTATATTTAAAAAAAAACTTGAGGATTCTGAGATTTCATTTAAACTTAAATTGCATGACTTGATACTTCTATTCCATAAAAGAATTACAAGTATGAAGTTCTTTTGATGATAACAAAGCATTACTAAAAAGAATAAAAAGAAGACGGAAAAAAACAATTTCTGTAACAAAATCAGCAAAAAGTTCTAAAATATCTTACAAGAAATCAATTTATTTTCTCTTGTTTATTTAACCTCACAATACGATAGGAATAGCTCCTGATATGTTTAAGAGAAATATATATATTATACCAAAACATGTGGTTAGGAGAATAATTATAGTTTCATAATATCATGCTCCGATTTATGTGCAGATCATATGCAAGTGAAAATGATATTACTTAGTATATTTTTCATGAAAACTTAAATTATCTGCCCCTTAATATCCAGCTGAGGACAGTGTTCAACTGTATACACACACGTCAGTTTTTTCATTAGAATGTTAGCTTGCAATGGGACACTTTCAAAGTGACAGAAACTAAAGTATTTGTAAAATTGCATTTGATTTTGTCTTTCACAAACTTAGTGCTGCATTAATATGTTATACGAGGTCATTTTTTTAAACAGGAACTTTTCTCTAGAAATAACTGTTCCTATGATTTTTTCTAGATGGAAATCTTTTAAAGGCCTTTTATCAAATAGGGTTATAACCTTTCTGCCCTCATGTGTGCTAATACTAACAAATGTTCCTTATATTTGAAACTAGGTCAGGGTTTAATTCTACCCATAATTCTCATAGCTATGCAATTGGTATAGGGTTTGGCAGCGAGCTTATGGACTCATAATAGGCCTCTGCTTTATCACCTGTAAAAATAAGGTCTTGAAACTATGGAATTTTTATAGTCTTTTTTAGCTGTAAAATTCTGATTCTACTATATGAAGTTTAAGCCTAAAACTTTAAATCACCACTGAGAACAAAATGGAAAATATGCTTATTCTGCTCATTATTGCTATAATTTAAGATACTGACTAGTGGTGTCATCTAAATGTATGAAAAGTATGCCTCAACATAAAGGGCACGTGGGAAAATTAATCCTTAAAAGAAGAGTACATCAACAAAATATTAAAGGTAAAGAGAAAAGTGACAATAAAAACTTCATCAAAATTTCCTGTTTTTTCTTATGAACCTTACAGCTTAAGTATTGTAAAGGCACTAAGCAGAGTAACCAATAAATATACTCAGATAAATTAGTGCTTTTAAGATCACAATTACTTGTCAATAATCCCAAAGGTATCTGAGAAGAGTAAATACAGGATAAAGACTACTCTAGAGACAAATCACAAATATAAATAGTGTGAGAAACCATTACAATAGAATTTGTAGAAAAAAATAACAAACGAAATTCTAGAGCAGAATATTCTTCAGGTATAGGTCTACCTTTAAATTTCACGGACTAGTGTTTGAGTTACAATTTTACCAATATATCAAAGAAAAGATATATGTCTTACTTATAGATGCTTGAAAAAAGCATCTTGGAAGAAAACCTCATTTAAACACTTAAAATTTCAAAAAAAAGAGACTGAGTTTCTTAATTGCTGACAATCAAGAATAATACTTTGATTCTCTAGTTAAATAAAACTTCTATAACATGCTACCAGCAATCTCAAAAGGAATTCTTTTTCTAATTAACAATATACAGGAATAATTTAAAAGATCAAAAACAAAAAAATTATAAAAAATCATTTAGGGATATAATACTATATGAACAGAACAGAAATTTTGTTTTAGTATGACAAAAACAGAGTATCTGTTTTCA